ACTTCCTCTGTTCTATGGGGTGTCCCTCTAAAACTGCTCCTCCTAAAACTGAATAAACATCCTCTCAGGTTCCACTTTGAAAACATTAGCAAAGTCATAATTCTTCATCCACTACACAGGACATCAACACAAGCAGACCAGAAAGAGACACGTTTTTTCTGAAAATGACATTTTGCCTAGGAAGTGATTTGATTGGTTTGAAGCCAAATCCAACCAGGCCTCCCTTGTGCGGCGTTTTGCTGCGCCAGGACAACCCACAGTTGAGCTCAGCTCAACACTGATTGGCTAATTGTAATATAAAAAAATTATCAAGGGAGGCCAAATGCTTGCTGGCATCAATAAATAAAATGCTACGGTGGCAACATGTTATGCTATTTTGGTCCAGACAGAATCAGATACAGTTGAAGTCGGATGTTTACATACACTTAGGATGGAGTCGTTAAAACTCGTTTTTCAACCACTCCACAAATGTCTTGTTAACAAACTATAGTTTTGGCAAGTCGGTTAAGACATCTACTTTGTGCATGACACAAGTAATTTTTCCAACAATTGTTTACAGACAGATTATTTCACTTATAATTCACTGTATCACAATTCCAGTGGGTCAGAAGTTTACATTCACGAAGTTCACTGTGCCTTTGAACAGCTTGGAAAATTCCAGAAAATTATGTCATGGCTTTAGACGCTTCTGATAGGCTAATTTACATCATTTGAGTCAATTGGAGGTGTACCAGTGGATGTATTTCAAGGCCTACCTTCAAACTCATTGCCTCTTTGCTTGACATCATGGGAAAATCAAAATAAATCAGCCAAGACCTCAGAAACAAAATTGTAGACCTCCACAAGTCTGGTTCATCATTGGGAGCCATTTCCAAACACCTGAAGGTACCATGTTCATCTGTACAAACAATAGTACGCAAGTATAAACACCATGGGACCACACAGCCGTCATACCACTCAGGAAGGAGACGCGTTCAGTCTCCTAGAGATGAACGTACTTTGGTGCGAAAAGTGCAAATAAATCCCAGAACAACAGCAAAGGACCTTGTGAAGATGCTGGAGGAAACAGGTACAAAAGTATCTATATCCACAGTAAAACAAGTCCTATATCGACATAACCTGAAAGGCCGCTCAGCAAGGAAGAAGCAACTGCTCCAAAACCGCCATAAAAAAGCCAGATTACGGTTTGCAACTGCACATGGGGACAAAGATCGTACTTTTTGGAGAAATGTACTCTGGTCTGATGAAACAAAAATATAACTGTTTGGCCTTAATGACCATCGTTATGTTTGGAGGAAAAAGGGGATGCTTGCAAGCCGAAGAACACCATCCCAACCGTGAAGCACGGGGGTGGCAGCATCATGCTGTGTGGGTGCATTGCTGCAGGAGGGACTGGTGCACTTCACAAAATAGATTGCATCATGAGGAAGGAAAATTATGTGGATATATTGAAGCAACATCTCAAGACATCAGTCAGGAAGTTAAAGCTTGGTCGCAAATGGGTCTTCCAAATGGACAATGACCCCAAGCATACTTCCAAAGTTGTGGCAAAATGGCTTAAGGACAACAAAGTCAAGGTATTGGAGTGGCCATCACAAAGCCCTGACCTCAATCCTATAGAACATTTGTGGGCAGAACTGAAAAAGCGTGTGCGAGCAAGGAGGCCTACAAACCTGACTCAGTTACACCAGCTCTGCTAAGGTGTATGTAAACTTCCGACTTCAACTGTATATGGAGGGTGTCATCCTGTACACAGGAAGAACAGAGGTCCATATGGAGGGTGTTATCAGGAAGAACAGAGATCCATATTGAGGGTGTTATCAGGAAGAACAGAGGTCCATATTGAGGGTGTCATCAGGAAGAACAGAGATCTATAGAGGGTGTCATCAGGAAGAACAGAGATCCATATGGAGGGTGTTATCAGGAAGAACAGAGATCTATATGGAGGGTGTTATCAGGAAGAACAGAGATCCATATGGAGGGTGTTATCAGGAAGAACAGAGATCCATATGGAGGGTGTTATCAGGAAGAACAGAGGTCCATATGGAGGGTGTCATCAGGAAGAACAGAGATCCATATGGAGGGTGTCATCAGGAAGAACAGAGATCCATATGGAGGGTGTTATCAGGAAGAACAGAGATCTATATGGAGGGTGTTATCAGGAAGAACAGAGATCTATAGAGGGTGTTATCAGGAAGAACAGAGATCCATATGGAGGGTGTTATCAGGAAGAACAGAGATCCATATAGAGGGTGTTATCAGGAAGAACAGAGATCCATATGGAGGGTGTTATCAGGAAGAACAGAGATCCATATTGAGGGTGTTATCAGGAAGAACAGAGATCTATATAGAGGGTGTTATCAGGAAGAACAGAGATCTATAGAGGGTGTTATCAGGAAGAACAGAGATCCATATGGAGGGTGTTATCAGGAAGAACAGAGATCCATATGGAGGGTGTTATCAGGAAGAACAGAGATCCATATGGAGGGTGTTATCAGGAAGAACAGAGATCCATATGGAGGGTGTTATCAGGAAGAACAGCTCCATATGGAGGGTGTTATCAGGAAGAACAGAGATCCATATTGAGGGTGTTATCAGGATGAACAGAGATCCATATGGAGGGTGTTATCAGGAAGAACAGAGGTCCATATTGAGGGTGTTATCAGGAAGAACAGAGATCCATATGGAGGGTGTTATCAGGAAGAACAGAGATCTATATAGAGGGTGTTATCAGGAAGAACAGAGATCTATAGAGGGTGTTATCAGGAAGAACAGAGGTCCATATGGAGGGTGTTATCAGGAAGAACAGATATCTATATGGAGGGTGTCATCAGGAAGAACAGATATCTATATTTAGGGTGTTATCAGGAAGAACAGAGATCTATATGGAGGGTGTTATCAGGAAGAACAGAGATCCATATGGAGGGTGTTATCAGGATGAACAGATATCCATATGGAGGGTGTTATCAGGAAGAACAGAGATCCATATGGAGGGTGTTATCAGGAAGAACAGAGATCCATATTGAGGGTGTTATCAGGAAGAACAGAGATCCATATGGAGGGTGTTATCAGGAAGAACAGAGATCTATATGGAGGGTGTTATCAGGATGAACAGAGATCCATATGGAGGGTGTTATCAGGATAAACAGATATCCATATGGAGGGTGTTATCAGGAAGAACAGAGATCCATATGGAGGGTGTCATCAGGAAGAACAGAGATCCATATCGAGGGTGTTATCAGGAAGAACAGAGATCCATATGGAGGGTGTTATCAGGAAGAACAGAGATCCATATGGAGGGTGTTATCAGGAAGAACAGAGATCCATATGGAGGGTGTTATCAGGAAGAACAGAGATCCATATGGAGGGTGTCATCAGGAAGAACAGAGATCCATATGGAGGGTGTTATCAGGAAGAACAGAGATCTATAGAGGGTGTCATCAGGAAGAACAGAGATCCATATGGAGGGTGTTATCAGGAAGAACAGAGATCTATATTTAGGGTGTCATCAGGAAGAACAGAGATCTATATGGAGGGTGTCATCAGGAAGAACAGAGATCTATATTTAGGGTGTCATCAGGAAGAACAGAGATCTATATGGAGGGTGTCATCAGGAAGAACAGAGATCTATATGGAGGGTGTCATCAGGAAGAACAGAGATCTATATGGAGGGTGTCATCAGGAAGAACAGAGATCCATATTTAGGGTGTTATCAGGAAGAACAGAGATCTATATATAGGGTGTTATCAGGAAGAACAGAGATCTATAGAGGGTGTCATCAGGAAGAACAGAGATCCATATCGAGGGTGTTATCAGGAAGAACAGAGATCTATATGGAGGGTGTCATCAGGAAGAACAGAGATCCATATTTAGGGTGTTATCAGGAAGAACAGAGATCTATATATAGGGTGTTATCAGGAAGAACAGAGATCTATATGGAGGGTGTCTGTAGTAGATCTGTAAGAACTGATGAGGTTTACAGTCTCACCAGCAGGAAGCACACCTCACTCTCTGGACTTCTCTGTGAGGTGTTTGTATGTTTGTGTCTGACTGCTCTTTCTGCGTGTGTACGTCTGCACGTGCACACACACGTGTGCATGTGTGTCCAATAAATCTAAATGAATGTAATATCCAGACCAATCCTTACCTCAGATGTAGCCTACGTGGCAGACCCGCACTTACAACGGCAGTGTGGTTTCCTTTTAAACAAAATAAGTTTTGTCTTTTACAAAAGAGGATAGGAATGGTTGAATTATCCATATCGGTGCAAGCATTCGTATAAAAAAGGGGTCCTCTGGGATTGGTACATCCATTGATTCTTGGAAGAATAGGCCTCATGATCTCAAATCAACTGTCGTACCCAATCAGAACTCAAAATATTGTTTTCTTCCATTGTTAGTAAGCTATGTCATTGTAAAATTATGTATAGCTTCAAAACATGGTTAACAAAACGATCAATCAAATTTGATCTCATGGTTGGTATGGCCTTGCATCCATAGCTCTATGAACTTGAGAAAGGAGATATATATATATATATATACTGTATAAGGAGGGTTTGACTGGTTCAGAGTTCAAAGTGCCACCATGGGGCATCGATAAGAATGCGGAAGAGATGAGATTAAGCATGAATCCAAATAGTAGGGTTATATTGCACACAGACATGGGGAAAGGTTGCAGGATAATGTTGTGCTCCTGGTTTTGTAGGCATTAAAACCCTACTATTTGGATTCCTGACGTCAGTCAGTATTGAAATGTCACATGTATGATGGACGTTTTCACGATCTAAAAGTCCTGTTAGTTTCTCACCACTGGAAGTTACCACAGTGCTACGTCATACCAGCCGGAGTTCTGCCTGCTTGAACGCCAATAACTCAAGACACACACGAAAAACATTAAAATGACCCAGGGAATGATAGCATTTTCAAAAATGGGTGAACCTTTCCTTTAATAAAACTCCAGAAAGAAACTTTAATTTCCACAAGCTTTTATTGAAAAACACCTCATTTCTTGGCCTTGAAGTACTCCTCAATCACATCCTTGGCTTGAGACTCCTTGCCATAGTCCTGCAGGGGGGGGGGACGACATTTGTACAGAAAGTGTTACACAGGACGCTAGCTACAAGACAGTTTACGGTCCCAAATTGAACTCTATCCCTTAGGAAGGGAATATAGACATACAGTGCATTCAGACCGCGTGACTTTTTCCACATTGTTGCGTTACAGCTTTATTCTAAATGGATTCAATTTATTTATTTATTCATCAAAACCACATAATGACAATGCGAAAATAGGCGTAGAAATGTGTACATTTATTACAAATAAAAAACAAATACCTTATTTACATAAGTATTCAGACCCTTCGCTATGAGACTCGAAATTGAGCTCAGGTGCATCCTGTTTCCATTGATCATCTTTGAGATTTTTCTACAACTTGATATGAGTCCATCTGTGGTAAATTAAATTGATTGGACATGATTTGGAAAGGCACACAACTGTCTATATAACGGTCCCACAGTTGACAGTGCATGTCAGAGCAAAAACCAAGCCATGAGGTCAAAGGAATTGTCCGTAGAGCTTCAAAACAAGATTGTGTCGAGGCACAGATCTGGGGAAGGGTACCAAAACATTTCTGCAGCATTGCAGGTCCCCAAGAACACCGTGGCCTCCATCATTCTTAAATGGAAGAAGTTTGGAACCACCACCACTCTTCCTAGAGCTGGACACCCGGCCAAACTGAGCAATCGGGGGAGAAGGGCCTTGGCCAGGGAGGTGACCAAGAACCCGATGGTCACTGACAGAGCTCCTCTGTGGAGAAGGGAGAACCTTCCAGAAGGACAACCATTTCCGCAGCACTACACCAATCAGACGGAAGCCCCTCAGTAAAAGGCACATGACAGCCCGCTTGGAGTTTGAAAGATGAACGGAGCAAAGTACAGAGAGATCCTTGATGAAAATCTGCTCCAGAGTGCTCAGGACCTCAGACTGGGGTGAAGATTCACCTTCCAACAAGACAACGATCCAAGCACACAGCCAAGAAAACAGAGTGGCGGCTTCGGGACAAGTCTCTGAATGTCCTTGAGTGGACCAGCCAGAGCCAGATCAAACATCTCCGGAGAGACCTGACAGAGCTTGAGAGGATCTGCAGAGAAGAATGGGAGAAACTCGCCAAATACAGGTGTGCCAAGCTTGTAGCGTCATACCCAAGAAGACTAGAGGCTGTAATCGCTGCCAAAGGTGCTTCAACAATGTACCGAGTAAAGGGTCTGAATACTTATGTAAATGTTTATTTCTTAATACATTTGCAAACATTTCTAAAAACCTGTTTTTGCTTTGTCATTATGGGGTATTGTGTGCAGATTGATGAGGGGAAAAAAACAATTTAATCCATTTTAGAATAAAGCTGTAACGTAACAAAAAAAGTAAAGGGGTCTGAATACTTTCCAAATGCACTGTACGTTGTTGGTCAGTATGATAAAGGTAGGTGGTAAATGTAGCCATTCATTGGGACCCCAGGCACCACAGTGAGGCGTCGGGGCTCGTACCCTGGCAGACACTCTGGCCAGATGTATAGGACAAGCAGCTGCATGGCACCGATAGCACAGCACCTGCACTCGACTGGCACAAACAGCTCTGATCGCACAGTGGACATTCAACCCTCATAACTCTGTACACCACAATTCCAAGCCCTTCCATAATCCCTTCCGACATCATCCCTTCAGCTCCCTCTCCCAGGTGTTTCCAGAAGATCACAGGCCAGTGGTTTTTTACCTTGATCACGACACAGCTGCAGCCCACTACCTTACGGGGTTTGCCCTCACGGTCGATCTTACACAAACCGACCCACTCGCCCAGCTTCTTGTTGTCATCAACCTGGTGGACAGGGAAGAGGTAAAGGAGGAGAAACAGGGAGGAGAAAAGATTGAAGGATTCAATACAGGAGATTTGAAGAGCTGCGCTACAACCTAGTAGCTCCATAGCGCAGTAGTAGCAAGTCTTAACAGTGGTTGTTCCTCCCCAAACAGTAACCTACATAGTGTACTACTTTCGACATGGGCCCCATAGAGCTCTGGTCAAAAGTAGTGCACTATATCGAGTAGTGAGCCATTAGGGACGGGTCCAGTGTTGTCTGGATCTCAGTAATAAGTTGGGCAACAATGGCAGTATGAAGTGTTCAGTAGAACCATAAATTAATCTGACGTAAGACATCTCCTACACCATCCAGTAACATCATGGCACCCTTGTTCATCACCATAACAACAACCTACTATCTACTTGCAGAAACACACTGGTTCCTGCTTTTGGTCATTCACACACACACCATTGGTGTAACCCCTACACGTCCCCACCCACACACCACCACCAATCCCCGGCGCCATACCTTGATGAGGTTAATCTGATGCTCAGCGCAGAGGGCTTCCACCAGCTTGACGTACATGGGCTCGTCACAGTTGGCCGCAAGGACACAGAGGTGGGCCTGACGCCTTGACACAGGAGAGGGGCGCGGTTAACATAAGGAACATAACTAGCCAACTATGTCAGGGAATTGCCAGGGACCTCACGATTACATATTATCTTATCCAGAGCGACTTACAGTTATTGAGTGCATACATTTTCATAACAACAAGATAACTAGTGTAAGACATGCTGTGTCCATAATAAGTATGTAGGTTATATATTGTGAGCTTTTGTGAAAGAGCACAGTTAGAAAGATATGGCATATAGAAGCAAACCGGATGGACATCATGAAAATGATCGGAGGAAGTTCAGGAGTAAAAAAACAAACAAAATATAATTATTGACTGTGTCCATAAAATGTATATAGTATGTATAAGCTGGAAGTAGAGGCCTAAGCATTGTTGTTCACTAGTTTACTCCAATTAGGGAAGGGATGGTGGGGTTGGAAAGTAATAAAGGGAAATATATTTTTAAAGGATATATGTGAAAAAAACAAACATGGGGGATTGGAAGTGATGCAGACAATTACATTGAGGGAAGTTACAATCTGCAATATTAAAGCTGATCTAAAAAAACAGAATTAAAAAATGTTACGATATTGTCAAAACGATACAGTGTAGAAAATAATATCCCAAAATGTAACTGCATCTATCACCAGTGTTTACCTCCCAAATGACACCCTATTCCCTAGTATAGAACACTCCATTCAAAAGTAGTGCACTAGCTAGGGAATACAGTGCCATTTGGGACAGAGGTATGTCAGATTTGGGGTAACAATGGCAGTTCACAGGATTCAGTAGAGGGAACCCAACTATCAGCCATACTTCACCACACTTTGCAAGCTAATAGAACACAGCAGTAAAAAGACACACCCGAAATTCTGTGTATCCCAAATGACACCCTATTCCCTACATAGGGCTCTGCCCAACAGCAGTCGACTATGTGCCAGCCCACTACACATGGAATGAAAGGGGTGCCATTTAGGCCACACAGTGACCAGAAATGTTCGGACTCACTTGTCCAGCGCTTTGGCGGCCTCGCGGATACCGCGGGCCAGACCGTCGTGGATGAGTGCGGTCTTGAGCACCTCAGGGAGAGCGGTGTTGACATCCATTACACCTCCGGCAGCGATGCTGAGGGGGGAGAGGTCAAGGCAAGACAGGGGAGTCCGGAGAAGACAAGAGAGGAGGTGGGGAGAGGGGAAAGACGGGAGAGGAGAAAGACGGGAGAGGAGGTGGGGACACGAGTGGGAAAGGAGAGGGGGTACAAGAGTTAGTTGGCTACAACTGACCGGTAAAGATGCTAGTGCGCCGGATTGAATGTGCGCAATCTCCCGGCGTGTCAGATAGGGGATCTCACTCATAATTTAGAGTGAAGGGGTATCCGACTAAAGAAAGTAAATCATCACACAATCGCCGGGAACTAACTAACTACTCCGTTGACGATGCAGCTATATTCACATATAAATAGTTAACGGTTACTTGGTTGCAGCCACCGGACTAAAACCCATACATTAGATAGCTAGCTAAATTAGCTGGGGGACTCCAGGTACGGATATTCCAGTGTTGTCTAGAGTTCTGGAAGTGCACGTACAAGCATGGAAATTATATTTTTTGGGAACAAACCACCACTTAAGGCAATTAAACTAAGAAACGTTCACATTTGTTCGCTAGCTAGCCTTGGTTCTGAGCTAAACTGCGAGTAGAACAGCCACACTTACCCTTCCTCGGCCATTGTAGATTAGCGATGGATGGGGGACCTAAACTTCTGCAATATTGATCAAACATGAAAGAAACGTTAGTATTCATGATGATAAAGTGACTGTGGTGAATTTTCAACAAACGATGTTTGATAAATCCAACAGATTATTTGGTGAGATGCAGAAACCCACCCAATCTCCTCTCTGACAGCGGGTAAAGAGAACGTCATGCAGTCAGCGACATTCATTTAAGGGCAAAAGGACCCGAGAAGTAGGTGGTCATGATTCTGCCTGTCTAATAGTAACGGCTAAGAAAACAGACGTTTGTACAATTTCCATTGTAGAATCGAAATATATTATTCGTTTAACATATTTGAAATTACACAGTTCATGCAAGACATTAAACGTTTATTTGCATAATTTTAATATGTGTCGGTCGACTGACGTGTTTTTAATTTAATCTATTGCCGCTAAGTGGCGCCGAAGCTAAAATGTATTAAAGTGCTTGGATAGCATACAGTCTATGATTGTAGCTTTCTGTGATTGTAGGATGCATAACATGCATATTTTTTGAATGCATATTTTCATATTTTCTTCAGAATGCAAAACTGGGGTTAGAGTTTTTTTGCTGTACTTTGAAAGTGGAAGTGGAACATTTTCTGCATCTCACCAAACCTAAGACTAGGGTCAATTTTTATTTATTTTTATTTCACCTTTATTTAACCAGGTAAGCCAGTTGAGAACAAGTTCTCATTTACAACTGCGACCTGGCCAAGATAAAACAAAGCAGTGTGATAAAAACAACAACAACACAGAGTTACATATGGAATAAACAAAACGTACAGTCAATAATACAATGGAAAATCTATATACAGTGTGTGCAAATGTAGTAAGTTATGGAGGTAAGGCAATAAATAGGCCATAGTGCAAAATAATTACAATTATAATTTAGTATTAGCACTGGAGTGATAGATGTGCAGAAGATGATGTGCAAATAGAGATACTGGGGTGCAAATTAGCAAAATAAATAACAATGTAAATAACAATATGGGGATGAGGTAGTTGGGTGGGCTAATTACAGATGGGCTGTGTACAGGTGCAGTGATCGGTAAGCTGCTCTGACAACTGATGCTTAAAGATAGTGAGGGAGATAAGTGTCTCCAGCTTCAGAGATTTTTGCAGTTCGTTCCAGTCATTTGCAGCAGAGAACTGGAAGGAATGGCGACCAAAGGAGGTGTTGGCTTTGGGGAAGACCAGTGAGATATGCCTGCTGGAACGCATACTACGGGTGGATGTTGCTATGGTGACCAATGAGCTAAGATAAGGCGGGGATTTGCCTAGAAGTGATTTATAGATTACCTGGAGCCAGTGGGTTTGGAGACGAATATGTAGTGAAGGCCAGCCAACGAGAGCGTACAGGTCACAATGGTGGGTAGTATATGGGGCTTTGGTGACAAAACGGATGGCACTGTGATAGACTACATCCAATTTGCTGAGAAGAGTGTTGGAAGCTATTTTGTAAATGACATCACCGAAGTCAAGGATCGGTAGGATAGTCAGTTTTACGAGAGCATGTTTAGCAGCATGAGTGAAGGAGGCTTTGTTGCGAAAAAGGAAGCCGATTCTAGATTTAACTTTGGATTGGAGATGCTTAATGTGAGTGGAAGGAGAGTTTGCGGTCTAACCAGACACCTAGGTATTTGTAGTTGTCCACATATTCTAAGTCAGACCCGCCGAGAGTAGTGATTCTAGTTGGGCAGGCGGGTGCAAGCAGCGTTCGATTGAAGAGCATGCATTTAATTTTACTAGCATTTAAGAGCAGTTGGAGGCCACGGAAGGAGTGTTGTATGGCATTGAAGCTCGTTTGGTGTCCAATGAAGGGCCAGATGTATACAAAATGGTGTCGTCTGCGTAGAGGTGGATCTGAGAGTCACCAGCAGCAAGAGCGACATCATTGATATACACAGAGAATAGAGTCGGCCCGAGAATTTAACCCTGTGGCACCCCTATAGAGACTGCCAGAGGTCCAGACAACAGGCCCTCCGATTTGACACATTGAACTCTATCTGAGAAGTAGTTGGTGAACCAGCCGAGGCAGTCATTTGAGAAACCAGGGCTATTTAGTCTGCCAATAAGAATGCAGTGATTGACAGAGTCAAAAGCCTTGGCCAGGTCAATGAAGACGGCTGCACAGTACTGTCTTTTATCGATCGCGGTTATTATATTGTTTAGGACCTTGAGCGTGGCTGAGGTGCACCCATGACCAGCTCGGAAACCAGATTGCATAGCGGAGAAGGTACGGTGGGATTCGAATAGTTGGTGATCTGTTTGTTAACTTGGCTTTCAAATACTTTCGAAAGGCAGGGCAGGATGGATATAGGTCTGTAACAGTTTGGATCTAGAGTGTCACCCCCTTTGAAGAGGGGGATGACCGCGGCAGCTTTCCAATCTCTGGGGATCTCAGACGATACGAAAGAGAGGTTGAACAGGCTGGTAATAGGGGTTGCGACAATTTCGTCAGCTAATTTTAGAAAGAAAGGGTCCAGATTGTCTAGCCCAGCTGATTTGTAGGGGTCCAGATTTTGCAGCTCTTTCAGAACATCAGCTATCTGAATTTGGGTGAAGGAGAAGTGGGCGGGGGCATGGGCAAGTTGCAGCGGAGGGTGCAGAGCTGGTGGCCGGGGTAGGGGTAGACAGGTGGAAAGCATGGCCAGCTGTAGCAAAATGCTTGTTGAAATTTTTGATTATCGTAGATTTATCGGTAGTGACAGTGATTCCTAGCCTCAGTGCAGTGGGCAGCTGGGAGGAGGTGCTCTTATTCTCCATTGACTTTGAAGACAGCGGAGGTGTATTTAGAGGGTAAATTAGTCAGGATGATATCTATGAGGGTGCCCATGTTAACGGATTTAGGGTTGTACCTGGTAGGTTCCTTGATAATTTGTGTGAGACTGCGGGCATCTAGTTTGGATTGTAGGATTGCCGGGGTGTTAAGCATATCCCAGTTTAGGTCACCAAGCAATTACAACTCTGAGGATAGATGGGGGGCAATCAATTCACATATGGTGTTCAGGGCACAGCTGGGGACTTAGGGGGGTCTGTAGCAAGAGGCAACAGTGAGAGATATTTATGGAAAGGTGCATTTTTAGAAGTAGACGCTCAAACTGTTTGGGCACAGACCTGGATAGTATGATAGAGCTCTGCAGGCTCTCTCTACAGTAGATTGCAACTCCGCCCCCTTTTGGCAGTTCTATCTAGACGGAAAATGTTGTAGTTTGGAATGGACATTTCAGAATATTTGGTGGCCTTCCTAAGCCAGGATTCAGACACTGCTAGAACATCAGGGTTGGCAGAGTGTGCTAACGCAGTGAATAACTCAAACTTAGGGAGGAGGCTTCTGATGTTAACATGCAAGAAACCAAGGCTTTTGCTGTTACAGAAGTCAACAAATGATAGCGCCTGGGGAGCAGGAGTGATACTGGGGGCTACAGGGCCTGGGTTAACCTCTACATCACCAGAGGAACAGAGGAGGAGTAGAATAAGGATACGGCTAAAGGCTTTAAGAACTGATCTTCTAATGTGTTAGGTACAGAGAAAAAAAGGGGCAGATTTCTGGGCATTGTAGAATAGATTCAGGGCATTATGTACAGACAAGGATATGGAAGGATATGAGTACAGTGGAGGTAAACCTAAGCGTTGGGTAAAGATGAAATAGATAGCATCACTGGAGGCACTGATTGAGCCGGTGTCTGCGTGTGTGGTGGGTGGGACAAAGGATCTATCTGAGACAGGTTGAGCAGGACTGGGGGCTCTACATTGAAAAAGTACAGTTAGAACTAACCGAAACAGCAATAGGCAAGGCATATTGACATGGGAGAGAGGCATAAAGCAGTCACAGGTGCTATTCGAGAGCTAAGACAACATCTGGTAATGGCGACGAAAGTTTGAGCTGAGGCTAAACAGGACAGGGTACCGTATAAAGGAACAGTCCAGCAGGCATCAGCTGTGTAGCTGAGTGATCATAAGGTCCAGTGAACAGCAATAAGTAAGTCCGGGAGCAGTTCAGTGGCTGCTACGCTACAGGCGAGCTGGAGGCACGGCTGTTGATTGCGTGTGCTAGCGGGCCGGGGCAAGCAGATGGATCTTCATGGTCATCGCAACGGGAAGCCTGTTGAAACCACATCAGACGATTACGTCGGCAGACCAGTCGTGATGGATCGGTGGGGCTCCGTGTCAACACCAGGAGGTCCCGTCCGGTTGACAGAGAGGTAGATAGCCGGGAGATGGGCTTGGCTCGAGGCTAGCTCAAGGCTAACTGGGGTTAGCTCCAGGACAGTGGTGATTAGCCAGCAACGACAACAGCCATTCGGTTGCAGCTAGCTAGTTGCAATGATCCGGTGTTAAGGTCCAGTGATTCAGGCAGAAAATCCGATATGCTCTGGCTCGATAGCGCGCTGTGCAGACTGGCTGATAATTGTCCAGGCTAGAGCTGGATGGTAGGTAGTGCAGGCCACAGACAATGGTGAAGACCGCTAACGGTGGCTAATAGCAAGTAGCTAGTTAGCTGGCTAGCTGGCTAGTTTCAGCCAGAGGTTCTGGATAAAAATGTGTGAAGAAACAACAGATTGAGAAATATATACGAAAAATACAAAAATACAAAAAACAGGCTATTTACATGAGGACACTACAGAAACCACGACCGCACTGCTACGCCGTCTTGGAACAGATCAATGCCAAACATTCCAGAAGCTCTGCCATGGCATGCCACTGATGTGTGAATGAGTGCTGTGTGTGTTTGCTGGGATGTTGATGGAATATTCTCCTAACCCACAGAAAACTGGAAACATGAATGTTCTTGCAACATCCCATGAAAAATGTCTAGAACATGAATATTGTTTATTTTGAGAACATGGCAACCACGTTCTGGGTATGTTCTGTTTGACACTAAGGGAATGTTCTCCTAACTCTTACAACAAAACATGCTAAAAAGGTTCTCGGAAGGTTTTTGCTAACAGATTGAATGTTCCCCTAACTAATG